GGAAGAGGAGGAGAGACCTACAGAGTGCATGAAGGTAGAAGAAGACACAATGAGAGAAAGAAAAAACTGCTCTGACCATTTTGTGCCCCGGCCACTTTAAGGCTGGAGCTGCTGAGTGCATGGAGCAGGAGCCAGCTAAAGCCACAGCTGTGCCCTTCGGATGGAGTTGCTTGGAGGTGGCAGGGGAGAACAGGGCCTTGGTGGCCTCCAGGACAGCAAGACCACTAATAGGGTTCCTGCGGACCCCCACAGGAGCAAGGAGCCAGAACAGCTGAAAAAATGGAGCCACTCAGAGGCCAGTGAGTCACTGCAAGAGACTGGTGCACAGCCCATCCCACGGGAAGTGTTTGCAGTATGGGCTATGGGAGAGACGGGCCCACTGGGGGTCCACTGGGGGAACACTGGGGCACAGCAAGGACAGCTGATCTGCCCCCCAATCAGCACAGTACCACTCAGAGGAGACTGGTCAGGAATATAGAATTGCATGGGGTGCAGTTTGATGAAAAGACTCAGGCCCAGATGAGAGTTACTACGCAACCCAGGTGCACCGAGTCTCTGGAGAGCCAGACGTACCTATAAGGTCAACCATTAAACCCTGAGCTGTAGAAAAAGCCTTCCCTAGGGAAACAGCAGCAAAGCAGCAATTTAGCTCAACCACAGAGCTCGAGTTCTGGTCCCAACAGGAAGTTCCCCCACTTTAGAAGTAAGCAAAGGACAAAAAAAATTAGTTCCAGCTCAGACACACCGCCAGCACCTTGGGGGCCCCCCCTGGGACCTGAGGCATGGAGAAGGGGACTGGACCCCCCTCCCGTCAACCAGTCACACCACACCAGCACCTCAGGGTTCAAGGCATGGATCCGGGAACTGGACCCCCCCCCCTTTCCACAACCAGGCACACCATGCCAGTGCCTTGGGGCCCACCCGGCAACCTGAGGCTTGGAGCCAGGGACCAGACTCTCCTCCCACAACAAGGCACACCAGGCCAGTGTCTCAGAGCCCACCTGGACACCTGAGGGATGGATCCAGGGACGAGACCCCCCCACACACAACCAGGCACACCACCAGTGCCAAGGAGCATGCCAAAAACATCACCTCCGTGTGGGTGGTCCACCATAGACACCACAATAAGCATGGATGCCACAACCACCATGC